GTGCAAGCGTGAGTTCAAGACGAAGCGATCTCACGTTGCCCTTAGCCAATACCACTTCAGATCGAATGACGCACTCGTTTCCTAATGCTGTCCTATTCTCTCTAAATAGTCCAACTTCAGCTTGCGATTTGCAGAATGTGTCCAGTCCGGAGTTCGAAATGATCAGCCCCTTTAGTCCGGGCGTTGAGCAAGTGGCTCGCAACGTGAACGACATCAGCCTGTCCTCGGACGAGGCCATTAAATCGGTAATTTTTCCGCAACCGAAACATCCCATGCAGGTTTAAAGTTGATTTGATTTCAGGCCAATTTCAATATTCATGACCTGGACTGGATGGATCGACAGTCCGACACTCTAAGCGAGACTGGGACTTACACTCTGGAAGGGGAGAACTACTCAGAAGAGCAAAAGGCGCGGATGAGCATTGACAACGAGTTCAAAATAGAGAAACTGACAGTGGAAGAGAAAACCGAAGAGTACATCAAGAGCCTATCGGTTGGCCGGTTTGTTTTGGAAGAAGCAAATTCCTCAACAGTTTCCTCCCAATATAGCGGCAGTTCGTCCACAGTGTCGAGTCTCCATAGCAGTTTTTCAGCCGGCGGCGGTCTGCCGCCAGTGCCCCCTTTAAAGCCCAGCAACGAGGCAAACTTTGGCAACAGACCATTAGAGCTGCTGCTAAAGGCCCCACCGGCCGGACTCAATGAGTTTGCAACGAAAAAAGTGCTTTCCCCTATTCTGTCGCCCACGCAGAACATTTCCATTGGCGACGAAGACGCCAAGCAGAGGCTCAGCCCCAAGCACCAGCCCCTGACCAAATCCATGCCCTCGAACGCCAAAAGCCAAAAATCCGATGAGGGAGCGATTATTTCCGTCACATCAAGCGGCGCGTTCCGCGGCAAAAGCGAAAGCAAACAGGCGCTCGCACGGCGGCTGAGTTTGACCAAGTCGGAGATTCACGTGGAGGCCTACATCGATGGAAAGATGTACAATGAGGGTCCGCCCAATAACACTGGAAGTCGCCCCAATTCTGCCAGACAGAGCAAACTGACTGCCAACATTGTTAATGTGCAAAGCATCGAAGTCAATCCGCATAATTCGGGCGAATTGGGCAATGTGGTTAGTGCAAGCTTTACCTGTGGGAAAACCGGCAATGTGGCTACAGGTAAGTCGTTTTGGGTCTAATGGTGCATCCACATCTAACGAGCAGAGTTTGAGACTACATTTACAGGAATTTGGTCGTAGATCAGGCTCGACTCGGGCTCGGCTCGTTAGGTCTTAGGACGCGCCATAACACATTATTGGTGTGGAGAAATAACTTTGGCACCACATCTACACGCCCTTTGCCCAGAATAACTAGTTGCAAATTAATCCATGTTTGTTGTGAAGTTGTGCCCACCGGGCACGACACTGGTTGAAGCGTTAAAAAGCACTGTTTTTCGCTTAATTTGCTCCGTTACTGCTGTTTTTCTGAAGATGGCAATTAATATTTGCGAACTTCGCCCGGTATTGGACTGGGCGTAGCTAGCCTGCGCTAATTAATCATGATTAGAACTTACGATATTTCCCGTTTAGTTACCACCGGCCTTCCACCAACCCCAACTGGGAAATTGTCGCCATCGAAAATTCCATCTCCGATCCACACATTGGCGCGGCCCCGTAGCAGAAACAGCCTGTCGGCGCCGCCTGACGACTTCGACACCGAGATGATTTTGAAACCGACCCGAAATTACATCAATTCGCTGCAGCACAAGTTATCGCTGGATAACAGTGACCAAGACAGTGACTACGAGATGAAGTATGGGCTGCAGCTGAACAACACGGCCCATCTGTTGAAGCAGCGCGCTCTGCACATCAGGCACAATTCGCTGGATGATCGCACGATCAACAACAAGCTGGAACATTTCCAGAGCAAGAATCTGCAGCCGATCGATCAAACGTACACAAACGTGTTTGATCAATACCACAAGCAGAACAAGGTGATGAACAAGATCAACAACTCGCCTAGCAACAGCCCGATCAGAAGGTCCAGTAGCTTTTCCAATCGCAATCAGATTAACAACATCAAGAGCTCGAATGTGGCCCTGAGGAAGGACTCCAATCTGAGCGGGTCGCCGTGTTTGAGCCAGAGCGAGCGGATTCAGCGTAGCTCGTCCACCGCCTGCATTAAGCCTAACTATGCCCCCAATAGGGGCGCAGTTCTGGAGCACAAGAAAATTGATAGGTACGTCGCACTTTTCCGCTTTAATTAGTTTCTTCAGGGCGTGTGTTCGCTCAGGAATCAGTTTGGCGACACCGAGTCCAGCTCGGAAGAAGAACTGGAGCCGGTTCTTCAAAAGAAGAAGGATTTGGGCAGCTTATCCAACACGCGCTGCAACCGAACGTTCAGCCTGCGAAGAGCCCGCGTGGACAACGAAGCCAACAAACTGAAGTGCCCGAACACTCCGGATATGCGTCGCAAAACCTTCCAGCCAACGGGCGGTAAGCCTGAACGAGCAATCTCCGTCGACAGGAAGCCTGTTAGAACCAACGAGGTAACAGTGATTTCCCAATTGCAACCCCCTTGTGCCTATAAAAAATTTGGTTCCAGACACAAAGCCGATATCTGCTTAGTCTGAATAAGCGGGCCACGTCGCTTGCCAAAGAGATTCCAAAGAGCGCTTCAAAGTCTGCGGGTTCCGGCTTGAAACCAGCGCCCTCGAAAACACCGGCCTCTTTTGCGCGGTCGGAGGCCGGTCGGTTTAGCATGCGAAGCTCCACAAACGGCCCTATGAAGGGTGCGAAAAAAGACGGCAAGGGCTCTAAACAGGGCGGTGGAGCGCGGTGCAATTCATCCCTATCTAGTCGCGAGGTGGAGTTTCAGAACTGGAAGCGGCGGAAAAGCTACGACCCGATGAAAGCAGCTGCTGAGGTGAGTTCTAGTGTCTGTTCCTCGAGAGAAGCTCCAAAATTAACAACCCATCTAGGGCAAGAAGAAAGACATGGAGAAACGGGCGAGTGGACTGGCCAAGCTCGGAGCTGTCAGTCCGGATAGCTCCCCATCGCACTCCGGCTCTGTTCACCGTTCTCAGGTAATTTTTTTAAAAAGAGGATTCTTCTAATCGAGCTGAATATTGTCTTCCAACAGATTCCCCACCCGTGACGAATTTAGTGCTTAGTTAAATATTTAAAAGGTTTCCTAAAAGGTAATTCTCAGTCATTGTTCATCACGTTTTAACAATCGTCATTGTTTGCGGGTGTTTAACGTTGTTTTGCTTTGATGTTGCTTCACAGCACTTTCTTAGGTGAATTATTGCCAGAGCTTTTCAAGTACATGCATGTTTTTTCCATTGGTTTGTAGAGCTTCCATGGAACAGCCGCTTTAGAGCAGCTGATCAGCTCGGATGAGGAAGACGTCACGTTTTCAGCTGATGAGGGTTTCAGCCCCCCAACTCCAAGTCCATGCGAACTGAGCCCCACTAAGGCCCGTTTAAGGCACTCGCTTTGGGACCGAATGCGTAACTAATTCAATGGTTTTATTTGCGCTTTTACATTCGAATTTCGTGATCAAATGGAACCAAATTTGTTTGGAAAGTTTTCGGATTTTTTTCTGGTTTGGTTTGGATCAAAAAAATTTCTGAGGCGCATGTATTTAAAGCGAATCGACTTGCTTTAATTTTTGAGCGGAAAAGTAGATGCGACTTCTGTTAGGGATTGGAGAAGCATCGCGAACTTTGTCTGTTATCCATAGGCTCGTCAGCCATTTGTTTACTGTTAGGTGTTTTGTCTACTTTTCTCGCTCCTGTGATAAACATATTATTATATAGCAAATATTGGAAAGTATATGGATCTGTACTCTAAACAGTTGATTTGATTGTGCTCTTGACAATTATATTCTTTCTAATATCCGCGCACTGTTACAAATATAATTGAGATTATTCGTGGCTCTCAAATTGATAAGGCAAGTTAAGGTTTTCGACTTCTCCTATTTCCTTGTGATTATTGCTAGACGCGTAAACCGAAACTTAAGCGGGGAAAATTATACTTTTTGAATATTTATTTCGCCAATATCGGGCTCTAATTGTTTAATTGTGAGTATTAATGAAGCTGATGTGTTCCTTTAAATTATTGTTGTATTATTAATATTGTTAGGCGAAATGCGCGGAATTTTTCAACGTTTAGCTCGATCTGTTTGGAGGCGAAGTCCTCAATTTCAATTGTTGTAGTTTCTCAGTTTATTCCTGCCATATATTGATGTGGTTTTCTTCAGGCGTAACAAGTTTGAGTGTTTTAGAAAACTTTGCTCATGCGACGTGATTATACAAACATATCTTTAGCCAATTTGAACTGTTCAAGAATCCATCCCGGGTCTGGTTCAACAACGGATTTCTACATTCTTTTGCGCATTGCTCAATATATGGTTTTTCTTTTCCGTTAAAGGTCAGTTGATTTTATTGCCTCGTTATCTACTAACAGAGAGCACAGATTTCTGGTCGGTTTTCCTTAGAAAAAATTCAATCGATGAGATTGGTTCGGACTGTGCCAATTTTTCTCTTACTTTTTAACCCAAAGCATTGTGATTTTCATATTTTTCTTCGATTTTATGAGGCATTACCGTTGAACTGGGTTAGTTTGTAGCGGTTTTAAGCAGCGCTCAGTTTGATTTCCAAGTGATATCAACCGTCTATTGTGGTTTTTCGTTGACCAAATCGCAGCCCCTTCATATTTAAGTGCATTATCGAATTTACATTATTTTTTATATGTTGCTTTTGTGTCAATATAAGCGCTTTTGTATATGGATGCATCAGCCCTGGTTTTATTTTCCCATTAAAATCACTTGCATTAATATGCGAGTGAAACAAGGCCAATCGGAAAATGTACAAGTTGGAAAAAGACTTGGACTTTTTTTAATACAAAAATTGAGCAGGGAAGGGATATAGCGCGGTCTCTTTCCATTGCATGCGCTGCGATGTGTTATTGTTCGATATCATGGTCCATTACTAGTGGAGTCTGAGGCGTTTTGTCAAACTCGATTTTCATTTTCAATATGGCTGACAGGAGTGACACTTGTTGGACGGTATTTTTTTTGGTTTTGTCACAAAACTAGAAACGAAAACAATAAAATTCTGTGCGATTTGCCATAATTGCGTCGTGTTCGAATGTGAAACCAGCCAGTGCATGGGCTGAACAGTGCCTGAAACCGCTCGTTGTGTTGCAAAGTGAAAATGTGTGATACGTGAAATAATCAGCCTTTTGTACAAATTTTAGTGTGTAGAGTGTAGATGCCCAATATGAACAACAATAATTTCAATTCGAGCTCGCCCAGGCCAACTTCGTAAGTATTAGATAATTTACTATAAAAAGACTGAGCTAATTATCATTTGGATTCAAGCCTTGCCTTATTTACTCTCTCATGAGCAATTAAAGTCAGAGCAGATATGACAGCAGCTAATAAAAGAAGCCAAATGATCATAATATGCATTTATTGTTCAGTTTTCCATGTCGTTTAGGCTGGAGTGTTCAATTTATACTCCCCAGACCCCCCTAGGTCTAGGCTCAATGCTAAGGGCCTGAGCTCAGGTGACCCCTCCCATGGTCTCTTCTATGCTATGAGCAATTTGCATATGAAAGACTCATTGTTTCTTGTAGATTCTACTAAATTCGGCTAATTAACTGCGGTCCATTGGGTTGTTTGTTAATGACATCTTCTATTGGACACCTGCCTTGTCACTACAAACCGAATCACCAACAGGGGATTTGATGTTGACCATCATAAGTTATTTTTAAAGATTTCTTCATTGGATTAGTTAGAAACAATGGCTAGTAACAGCACTGCTTGACCACTGGCCATTAAACGCCTTCAATTCCTGAGTTCATTCAAATGTCCAAAGCAGATCTGTTTCCGAGAGTTCACTCAGATTAAGTTTCCTTCTTCATTTAGACAATGCAGAGTAAAGTGGCCCATTTATTTCGCTACTAAATTGTAAATATCTGTTACGCAACTTGACAACAAACCTTTCCAGTCTCATCAAGTTTGCAGCGCAAATTAAAACAATTTCCTTTTGCGATTGTGGATGGGTGTTTGTCTTTAGAGAATAAGTATGGAGTTGTTTTCAAAGGGAAAACAAGTCCGTGCTTGCATTTTCATGACTGTGTAAAGCACTGACTAATGGGTGGTAATATTTGGAAGATCTTCAAAATTCAGCTTCTGGACGTAGGTATTTGCCTGCTTTTTTTGCAAGAAGTACATTAATGCGTTGGTTTTATTCTGTTAAAGTTGCCAGTCGCCCATTGGTGTGGTTGGGCAGCTCCTATTTTTTCAGGGAGCTCTAGATGTGACTATTATAATGTGGTCATCTTTGGGCACTCAAGAATCAATCGCTAGGTGTTTTTGCTGGAATTTTTTTACCTGGAGTAGCTGAATACCTGGTTTTTGGAGTGTACAAATTTCAAGTAGGTAGTTGGGCTAGGTAGGAAGTTTTAATTTTTTTAAGAGGGCGTGACGTGTGCCTGAAATATGGTAATTTTTGGGCGCTACTCAAAAATCAGTGTCTGCGTATTTTTCAGCGATTTTTCTACTTGAAGTACCTGAATACCTTGTCTTTGTCGTGTAAAAGTTTCAAGTACCTGGTTGGTCTAGTTAGGAAGTTTTGATTTTTTTAAAGAGAATGTGACGTGTGGCTTAAGTGCTAATTTTTGAGCGCTTCTCAAAAATCAGTCCCATCGTATTTTTGCGCAATTTTTCTACTTGAAGTACCTGAATGCCTTTTCTTTGTCGTGTAAAAGTTTCAAGTACCTGGTTGGTCTAGTTAGGAAGTTTTGATTTTTTTAAAGAGAATGTGACGTGTGGCTTAAGTGCTAATTTTTGAGCGCTTCTCAAAAATCAGTCCCATCGTATTTTTGCGCAATTTTTCTACTTGAAGTACCTGAATGCTTTTTCTTTGTTGTGTAAAAGTTTTACGTAACCAGTTGGCCGAGTTAAGAAGTTTTAATTTTTTTAAGAGAGTGTGACATGTGGCTAAAGTATGGTAATTTTTGGTCGCTGCTCAAAAATCACTGTCTGCGTATTTTTCAACGATTTTTCTACTTGAAGTACCTGAATGCATTGTCTTTGTCGTGTAAAAGTTTCAAGTACCTGGTTGGTCTAGTTAGGAAGTTTTGATTTTTTTAAAGAGAATGTGACGTGTGGCTAAACTATGATCATTTTTGGGCGCTTCTCAAAAATCAGTGCCTGCGTATTTTTGCGCGATTTTCCTACTTGAAGTACCTGCATGCTTTATCTTTGCCCTGTAAAAGTTTCACGGAACTAGTTGGTCTAGTTAGAAAGTTTTCATTTTTTTAAAAGATCGTGACATGTGGCTAAAATATGGTAATTTTTGGTCGCTGCTCAAAAATCAATGTCTGCTTATTTTTCAGAGATTTTACTATTTAAAGTACCTGAATGCCTTGTCTTTGCCGTGTAAAAGTTTCACGTAACCAGTTGGTCTAGTTAAGAAGGTTTGATTTTTTTAAGAAAGTGTGACATGTGGCTAAAATATGATAATTTTTGGTCGCTTCTCAAAAGTCAGTTCCATCGTATTTTTGCCCGATTTTTCTACTTGAAGTACCTGAATGCCTTAACTAGTTGGTCTGGTTAGGAAGTTTTGATTTTTTTAAGAAAGCCTGACATGTGGCTAAACTGTGATAGTTTTTTAGCCCTTCTCAAAAATCTATCCTTGCGTACGTGAACTCCCTGAATAATTTGTCTTTGCCGAGTCAAAGTTTCACGTAGCCAGTTGGTCTAGTTATGAACTTTTGATTTTTTTAAGAGAGCGTGACGTGTGGCTAAAATATGATAATTTTTGGGCGCTTCTCATAAATTGGTCTCTTGGTGATCTGCCTGCATTTTTCACCATTAGTACTTGAATACATTGTTATTACTCTGTAACAAGCCCCAGTCTCAAAGTCCCCTGTTGGTCTGGTTGGGATGTTTTGATTTTTTTAGAAAGCCCTAAATATCTGCTCCAAATGTTCACTAACACCATGTAAAATTGTCCAAAGTCAATGGCTTGAATTCTCCAGATTTGACTACTCCTTGGCCATATAACTAACGCAAATTGTTCGCTTCATTACAGTGGTAATGGTAGTCCAGGCTCCTGGACCTCTCCGCTTTCCAGTCCTGTGGGAATGGGCCGGCCCCCTTCCTTAATGGATCATCCCCATAGTCTTCCAAATGCCGTCCGAGTGGTGGTTACTCGCGATGCTGGCGGTTATGGCATGAAAGTATCCGGCGATAATCCAGTCTATGTGCAAAGTGTCAAAGATGGTAAGCGGCCTCGGGTTTTAGCTGATAAATTGTGACTTAGTCAAGTAGGTAATTGCATTTTTTCCAAATGAGTTTAACGAATTGTTTATTAAAAATTGCGATTAAATGAGGCTGACTGCGTTATCTGCGAAAGCATGCCATGCCGTCTTTCGGTTGCCATACAAGTTGTGCGAAACACCGCGGTTGTTATCATGAGTGTTTCGTTTGTTTAATGTTTATACATTTTCGGTTGTCCGAACCAAAGAGCCGCGATTAAAACTGGTGATATCAGCTTAACTACTTTATTTGGCGGCTTTTCAATCGGTTTATTTAATTTTTTCTAAACAGATAAGATTTGTACAATCATGTTTATTGGGGATCCCATGAGATGATCCGACGTTACTTAATCGATTGCGGGGTTTTCAGGTGGACCAGCTGAAAAGGCAGGATTACATGCAGGCGACAAAATAATTCAAGTGAACGGCACCAACGTTACGCATTCAACCCACACCGAAGTAGTCGGTCTAATCAAAGGTGATCAGATCATTTTTAGCTTTGTAATCCTTTCGTAATGCTTGCTGTTGCAATAGCCCATGCTCAAGTGGTCCTCACAGTGCAGCCAAGGATGCCTTTAGTGCGTAGCCCCAGTACCAGACCCGCAAGCCTCCCATCGAGCACGAAAATCACCGCCCCTCAGCCAGTCGATGTTTGTAGCTTTTCATAGTTGAAATGCGGGAAAATCTGCAATTTATTGGCTTTTCAGAATGAGAAGCAGCATCAGCTGCAGCAGGAGAAGGAGCAGTACTATCGGCTGATGATCGAAAAAGAGCAGCATCATTTGGATAAGTTGCGCAGCGAAGTTGGATCGAACGAAAAGAGGTACATCGAGCTGGCCAAAGCGGAGAAAAACCTCAGATGTCTCCAGGACAATCTCACTAGGACGTTGACTGAGGTAAAGGCACTGTTGGCAAGGGAAGTGCGTTGGAGTTAATGAATCTTTTTCCAGCAGCTGAGTCCAGAGTCGCAATCCAATCGTCCCATTTCCTCGCCGAGCAATCTGGGATCTCCGATCAAAAGGTCGGAGTCGGACGATCCGCCGCCCATCCCCAAGCGCTACAAACACCACGACATCAACTCACTGTTCCTTTCCAACGAAATCAACTCAAACTCACCTAAACGAGAGGTACATTTATCAGCTTCCCTCATTCCGGTTCGCATGTTAATTAACCCTACATTCACCTCAGTTCCTCTAACTATCAACTATCCAGGATGTTACTTCAAAGTAGACAATTCCTTAGTTAATCAGCAGCTAGAACTCAAAAGTTTTTAACGAATTCTTTGTACTAATCCGAACGGTGGGCTTTTGTGGTTAACAGATCTCGTCTTCTTTTCTAGAACGTGTCTGGTGATGTTCCTCCCCCGTTACCACCTCGTACTTACCCACCTTACAACACGCACACAGACGACGCATCAGCGGCTAATTCAATCGATAAGCAAATGTCATACCCTTTAGTGGCCACTTGCACTTCTTTGCATAGTGACTACGTAAGTACATTTACTTACTTATGGCTGCGCCACGTTCTAATGCAATCATTGTGTCTAATACATGTGTGTTCATGCCATTAATTTGTCTGTTAATTTTTGTGCCAAGTGGGTTTATTCACGCTGGGGTGTTTTTTTCAGTTGTCGCAGGGTGGGAAGCATCACCGCACCAAGTCTAATCCAGATTGTCTGACTAATGACGGGAGTGGAGAGCAGCGACATCCAGCCACTCCGCCTGGGACCCCGCCGCCTCCTTATCCCAGTCCAGACTCTGCTAGAAGGTTTCACATGCTGGGCGGCGACTCTTTTGATGGCTCCTTCAGTTTCCCGGTAAGTCGCATTGGAGGGAAACGTTCAAAAAGACACTATTTTGTGGTGGTTGTAGAACAACGACGCGTTCGCACAGGAGCGTTCAGTGTCGCAGAACTCACATGCCAGGCCGACGAATTCGCGCACAGCCCAACAGGCGATAATCAGCATGGAAGACGACGATATTTCCGATCTAGAAATCGTAAGTCCACGTCCCGGGTTGAGCTATTTGAGCGGCTTTTTGAAAGCGCTTTTATCCTTTCAGGACCAAGTGGAAGATCACGGGTACTTCAAGTCGTTGTCGCGACTGTGGGAGCATTTGCCCCATCTGGCCGTATTCATGAACTACATTCTGTCCAACTCCGATCCGAACAGTTTGCTTTTCTACCTTCTCACCGACCTCTACAAGGAAGGCAATGCCAAAGAAATGCGAAAGTGGGCTTTCGAAATCCATTCCTGCTTCCTGGTGCCAGGAGCGGTAAGCTATCTGAACGCACCGCGTGTTTCCAGACGAAGGCATCGAAAACTGTATTTCAATAGTTCGTTTGATTGCAAATTTCAGCGCTCAAGCGGCTCTAGTTTTGCCCTGGGAAATTTTTTAAAAAGGCGCTGCATTACGCAATATAACTAGAACCAGATTCAGTTTCACATTTTTTTTAAATGGACCAAAAGTTGCCTTTTTATTAAATTTTCCAAGTATTAAAATTGGTGTCTTTTCTTTAGAGTTCCGAAATTTCAGCCCTCAAGCTGCTCTAGTTTTGCCCTGGGAAATTTTTGAAAAAGGCGCTGCATAATGCAATCTAACTTTAGAACCAGATTCAGTTTCACATTTTTTTTAAATGGACCAAAGGTTGCCTTTTTATAAAATTTTCCAAGTATTAAAATTGGTGTTTTTTCTTTAGAGTTCCGAAATTTCAGCCCTCAAGCTGCTCTAGTTTTGCCCTGGGAAATTTTTGAAAAAGGCGCTGCATAATGCAATCTAACTCTAGAACCAGATTTAGTTTCGCGATTTTTTTAATTGGACCAAAAGTTTACTTTTCATGAAATTTTCCAGGGATTATAACTGGTGTCTTTTCTTTCGAGTTCCGAAATTTCAGCGCTCAAGCTGCTCTAGTTTTGCCCTGAAAAATTCGTAATCTCTAAAGCAATCACACCACTTCCCGGGACTTTTGCAGTTGAAACACCCTGCACATTGGAAACTATGTGAAATGCCCAAATAAGTCGACTTGTAAGGAAAACCATTATTCTTAGGGTTCTTATTGTTTTGCAGCCGCTGAGGTTAAACAATGTGGACGAGAACATAGCGAGAGAAATCGACGATAACTTAACCAAACAGTACGACAAGGAGGAAATAATGCGCAAGATTTTTTGGAAAGCGCGCCAAAGAGCGAAGGAGGAGCTCACACGGCAACTGGCCGATTTTCAGCAGAAAAGGACGGCCGGTTTGGGAACAATGTACGGGCCCACCGATCAAGAACTGATGGTGAGTTTAAGCGCCGAAAATGTATTAGCCGGTGTAAAATCGGTGATTTCAGGATCACTACAACGACAAAGCCAAAGAAACCAAACTGTACGAGAGCCTGCTGTTGCCCAAAGTGGATCCGTACTTGGAGGACATGGAGAAGTTTGAGCCTCAAAAGTACTACATGGGAGCGGCTTTGTTCACCATCCTAACCAGGGTGTTTCGGGTGCGGCCTCAAAACTTTGATCTGGACAAAGTGCCGACGTTCGTGAACAAAGAGCGCTCCTTCAAAGCCAAACTGATTGGCAAATACTCCAGAAAGGTAGGAGAATAGAGGCTCAAAGAAGGCTGTTTTCCAGTAGCTTTCCATTTGCAGTCGAGTCGTCATTTGAGCCATCAGTTCGTCGATCAGCAGTACTTTACTGTGATGGCGTGCAACTTATGCCATCAGATTATCTACGGAATTAGTCCCCAAGGATATCAGTGCACAGGTAGTTGGGATTGGTGGGCATTTAAAATCGATCTTATGGTACTTTTTTGGTTTATTTAGCGTGTTTGATCAATCTACATCGTTCCTGTGTTAAACTTTATGACGACTCCTGTCCCGGCCCAATCAGAGGCAAGGAGCGAGGCATCAGGAAGCTGATTGGGATGCGTCACGACATGAGCGAGCAAATCAGGCACAGGAAGGCATCCCAGCTCACTCAAAGTGAGTTGTTTTATTGCACAAAACAGGGAATTTTTGAAATTTAATTCAATTTCCTCGGGTTGTTTCAGTGGAACGGGAGAAAAGGCAAATGGAGGAAAAAGACTGCATCAACGAGATCATAGAGACCGGTAAGTGTTGATCAATCAGTTCACTTTATCTACGGCACCCTCGCTTCGATTATCCGGTCTGGAGACAGCCCTAAATTTATAATCCATGTTTTACGTCCCTGGAGCGTATCTGGACACCCCCTTGCGGCGCACATTTCCCAAATCCTGACGCGCTTTGATCATTTCGGATTTCAGTCGATCGCGACAACTGCGAGTGGACGCTCGCTCGATTTTCCGGCGTGAATATACATGTGCGTGTATGCCGTCTATGTGCTTTGGATATTAATATCCCCAGTGCATTTGATTTTCTTCCTTATTGCAACGTTGATCGTTGTACACCTTTGTGGGCCATCAACAGAATCGGTTTTATGGTCAATAAGCTATTTTTAGAGGCGTTTTCTTTGCTTGGCCGACGTGCAGGTAGATGTTCTAGATGGAAAATTGCATATTTCATTGTTTGGGGTTGGTGTGAGTGTTGCTTCCGGATTGCATTTAATCCCTATGACGATTTTCCTTCATTCAGAAATTACAAAAGTAAATGAGAGCTTCGCTCAATTTATCTGCCGCATTAACACCAGTTAGCTCTGACCCTTCTAAATGAACGAATTCCCGTACATTTTATGTGCTTGTTCAATGTGGATCGTTGCGGTTTTCGGCATTTTAATGGCGATTTTTCCTTTTAAAACAAACGTTGACGCGCGGTCCGATTTTAATGAGCATCTACAGGAAATTAGCGATCTACCAGGCAGGTTCGCATATTCATACGACTAATAACAGTCTTTACTTAGCAGTTGTATGCTCACAAAGATGCTTTGATATCTTGGCAATTCCAAATATTTATGCGGGTTTTTCTTGCGAATTTGCCTCGATGCTAATCGATTATCAAAGTCACTGGATTTAAATACGCAAAAGTTTCGGCACCATGCGAAACCGATTTCCACGTCGATGAAGTGATTCGGGCAAATGTTTCCAAACAATAACACTTAAAGTGCTAAAAATAGGTGCCCAAATAGTACCGGATGTCAGTGTTGGAGCCGGGAACTTTCGGGAATAGCGTAGGGTGCGATTTCTAGTACCACAAAGTATTGATTTCCTTTCGGTACAGCTGGGCCCCCGTTTATTTTTGGCTCCTAATTAATGCGAACGTGTTGGGTTTCATCAGGATCAGGAGCCGGTTTTTTGTCGAATCTTTCAGAACCCACTCCATTGGGTTTGTTTTCGAATTTCTGTACTGTTTTCGAGTTTCACAGTTGTAAGGCTTAAGGGGAGCCTTTTGTTTGATCAAACATGTTTCAAAGTGCTGTGCTTTTCAAATGGGCGCAATTAGAGACTTTTTTCTCTGGCTATAAATGGTGCTTTGTTTAGATTTGTGTGATTGTCACGTTCGTTACAGTTTTTTAAGCACAAATCTCCCGATCGTTCTTCTAAGTCTCATACTTTCCACGCGTGCAAAAGCACTTGAATTATTTTCCGGTTATAAAGGATGCTTTGGTCTAAAATCTCTGCGATTTTTACGTTCATGGGGTTTTAGGGCGGCTTTTGGCAATTTTTTTATCAAAACATGTCGAGGCTTTCATGCGCCAAGTGCATCGCCAACAGGCTCATTTTTCAAAGTCTGGTACTGTTCAAAAGAGGGCAAGTATAGACCTGATTTGTTTTGGACTGTATAGGATTATTTTCTTTCGAATTTCTGTCACCTTCATGTTCGTAAGGCTTAAGGGCGAGTTTTGGGAATCTTTCAAATTCAAGGGTTTAAGCGGCGAATCATTCTGCAGCTTATTTTTCAAAGTCCCCTATTTTCTAAACTGTTGCAAGTAGATGCTTATTTTTATCCTGTAGCTTAAAGTAAAATTTTGGTTTCAAATCTCTGTTACTTTTATGTCCCTAGGAATTACGGGCGATTGTTGGCATTTTTTCAAAGTCGAGTGTTCAATGCGGTGAATAATACAGCCGCTTATTTTTCAAAGTCTCCTACTTTCTAACCTATTGCCAGTAGGAGCTTCACTTTTTGCTGCTTCTGTAAAGTAAGGCATTTTTTCGAAAGTGTGTTACTTTCATGTCCTTGGGATTTAAGTGCGATTTTTTRGCAAYTTTTGAAAGTCAAGGGTTTASTGCGATGAATMWTWCTKCTKCTAYTTTTCAAAATCTCCTACTTTCTAAACTATTGTCAGTGGAGGCTTGACTTTTTCCTGTTTCTGTAAAGTAAGATATTTTTTTGCAAGTGTGTTACTTTYATGTCCCTGGGATTTAAGTGCGATTTTTTGGCAATTTTTGAAAGTCAAGGGTTTAGTGCGATGAATAATACTGCTGCTTATTTTTCAAAGCCTCATACTTTCTAACCTACTGCCAGTAGGAGCTTGACTTTTTGCTGTTTCTGTAAAGTAAGGCATTTTTTCGAAAGTGTGTTACTTTCATGTTCTTGGGATTTAAGTGCGATTTTTGGCAATTTTTGAAAGTCAAGGGTTTAGTGCGATGAATAATACTGCTGCTTATTTTTCAAAATCTCCTACTTTCTAAACTATTGTCAGTAGAGGCTTGACTTTTTCCTGTGTCTGTAAAGTAAGATATTTTTTTGAAAGTGTGTTACTTTCATGTCTGAGATTTAAATGCGATATTTGGCAATTTTTGAAAGTCAAGAGTTTAGTGCGATGAATAATACTGCTGCTTATTTTTCACAGTTTCCTACTTTCTAACCTATTGCCAGTAGGAGCTTGACTTTTGGCTGTTTCTGTAAAGTAAGGCATTTTTTCGAAAGTGTGTTACTTTCATGTTCTTGGGATTTAAGTGCGATTTTTGGCAATTTTTTAAAGTCAAGGGTTTAGTGCGATGAATAATACTGCTGCTTATTTTTCAAAGTCTCCTACTTTCTAAACTATTGCTATTAGGGGATTATGTTTTTCCGGTGGCTGTAAATTAAGATTTTGTTTCGAGTCTGTTACTTTCGTTGTCACTGTTCAGGGCGATTTTTGGAAATGTTTGAAAGTCGGGCGTTTAATACGGCGAATAATTCTGCAGCTTATTTTTCAGTCTCCTACTGATGTGAGTTTTAGGCTTTTGGGGCTTATGGGGCATTTTTGGCAATTTTTTAAAGTCGAGCTTTAATGCGACGCAAAATTCTGCCGTTCGATTTTCAGACCTGTACTGCCCAAACGAGTTGAAGTAGAGACTTCAATTTTTTCCTGTGGCTGTAAAGTAAGAACTTGTAGAAAGTCTGTTACTCTTATGTCCCTGGGAGATAAGGGCGATTTTTGGCAATTTTTTAGAACTCACTGCTTCCATACTGCGACCTATTCAGTAAAATACCAATTTCACGCAAACATATTAAGCGCGCATTATTAATAAAACGTTTTACTGCTGATCATAAATAAAAAAATAAAAAATCGCTCTTAAATCTTGGGATTTGGCCGGTCAACGCTTGGCATCGAACGCAAATATTTATCCATATGAAAGTAGATTTTTTCTTCTGGTTAATGTCTAAACCGGGCAAATATTTGGCTGGTGATGTCAATTACGCGGATGTACCGGTCACATAACCGTTATTAATAGTCGGCAAGCGATAAGGGATTTGCTCGGAATTATCATTAAGTTTTGGCCAAAGCGGAAGGCACATTTCAAGTCCCGATTGGACACCTTTATTTCCTCGTCCATCCGTTAAAATCGGGCCCTGATTCATGTTGCCATCATGGCCCAAGGGCATCAGGCAGCAGGCAGCCAGGATGGTTTCCATCGGGAATCGATAGTCGGTTTCCAGAAAGTCAAACACAATTTAATTAATGGTAGTCATGTTTTATTGCGTCAAGTCACGGACTATGCCGATCAGTGGATAAAAATAAATTGACCATCGTAAATCACGCCTGAAGATGGATTTTTCGCCCGCTCGTTGGATGCAGTGGGATTTGCGTTTTCAAAATGAAAACATGCTCGTTTCAATTGAATGCTGGTATTTTTAGATTTATGCCGATATCTGGAACTGGGCTTGTTTACAGGGCGAAAACTATCTGGAAGCGTTTCACTTTCACGTGGTTTACTGTTCAGATGTAAAGCGCCTCACTTTAAAGTAGGTAGCTTTAGTGCTAAGGTAAAGAAAGGTTGTCTTTAGAGCTTCCGTAAGTTTCAGCTCGATCGGAGGGCAGGAAGATTCAGCGCAAAAATCTTCAAAGTTGTAGATTTTTTTCAAAGTTGTAGATAGAAATTGTCTTAGAGCCTACGCAAGTAGGAAAGGCAGGAAGATTTTTGGCAAATTTTCAAAGTTGAGTGAAAAATTGTGTCAAGCGTTTTACAGGGAGTCTTTCAATAATTCCCCTTCTTCATTGTACTACAAGTAGATACTTCAATTCTATTGTGCTAAAGTAAAGAAAGGTTGTCTTTAGAGTCTTCTGCAACTTTCGTCTCGAGCGGAGAGCGGCGATGGAAGATTTTTGGCGAATCTTCAAAGTTGAGGCGTAAATTGTATCAAGCATTTCTCAGGTAGCCTTTCAAAAATGTCTCCTTTTCTTTGTACTGAAAGTAGAGACTTGAATTTTAGTGCTAAAGTAAAGGAAGGTCGTCTTTAGAGCCTACGCGAGTTTCGGCTCGATCGGAGGGCAGGAAGATTTTTGGCAAATTTTCAAAGTTGAGTGAAAAATTGTGTCAAGCGTTTTACAGGTAGTCTTTCAATAATTCCCCTTCTTCATTGTACTACAAGTAGATACTTCAATTCTATTGTGCTAAAGTAAAGAAACGCTGTCTTTAGAGTCTTCTGCAACTTTCGGCTCGAGCGCAGAGCAGGAATATTTTTGGTGAATCTTCAAAGTTGAGGCGTAAATTGTATCAAGCATTTCTCAGGTAGCCTTTCAAAAATTTCTCCTTTTCTTTGTACTGAAAGTAAAGACGTGAATTTTAGTGCTACAGTAAAGGAAGGTCGTCTTTAGAGCCTACGCGAGTTTCGGCTCGATCGGATGGCAGGAAGATTTTTGGCAAATTTTCAAAGTTGAGTGAAAAATTGTGTCAAGCGTTTTACAGGTAGATACTTCAATTCTATTGTGCTAAAGTAAAGAAAGGCTGTCTTCAGAGTCTTTCTGCAACTTTCGTCTCGAGCGGAGAGCRGSAAGATTTTTGGCRAATCTTCAAAGTTGAGGCGTAAATTGTATCAAACATTTTGCAGGTCGTCTTTCAAAAWTTYCTYCTTTTCTTTGTACTGAAAGTAGAGACTTGAATTTTTGTGCTAAAGTAAGGAAAGGTTATCTTTAGAGCCTCAGCAAGTTTCGGCTTAATCCAAAGGCAAAAAGGTTTTTGGCAAATCTTCAAAGTTGAATCGTAAATTGTGTCAAGCGTTTTCCAGGTCGTCTTTCAAAAATTCTTTCTCTCCATTGTACTACAAGTAGACTTGAATTTTTATGCTAAAGTAAGGAAAGGTTGTCTTTAGAGCCTTAGCAAGTTTGAGCTTAATCCAAAGGCAGAAATATTTGTGCAAAGAGTTTTGCAGGCCATGATACAAAAAATCCATCTTTCCAATGTACAACAGGTAGAGACTTCAATGTTTGAAATAAAGTAAAGAAAGGTTGTCTCTAGTATTCCTGCAAGTTCGATGTCAATCGGGGTGCAGGAAGATTTTTGATGAATTTTCCAAGTTAAGGTTGAAGTTTCTAAAAAAGCTGTGCTTTTCCCCAATAAATCCTCGTTATCCGACTTCACAAACACTTACAGGATCCTGGTTAGTGTCCATTCTGTGCTTCATTCGTCTTTATCAATCAATAGCGAAAACGCCAGTTATCTGAATCTATTTCCAGAGCTGAAATTTATGCCCCATTCAAGTAGTTCGGTTATGCAACAGCAGTCGTGGAAATTTCCGATTTCCAGATGCACATGAGCCGATCTCGTGTGCATGTTTTTCCAATAATGCGAGCCCGATTGAAATCCTGGAATATTCCATTCGGTGTCGGCTTTTGTTTTGCTAAACCCTGAGTTCTGAAAGGCGTAACGGCATTCGTTGCGACCGCAGAAGAGTAATTTTCCCGCATCCAGACGCCCACACCAAATTGAAAGTCCCAAACAAATTGCGTCGTCCCCTTGAGCCCTCAGGAAGTAAACGGCAGCAACACTCCCTTCGCGCGCCCTTCGCTAGTTTTCGTTCAAGGTGGCCGGCAGGAAAAGGGGCGCTTTTAAGCGGGGTGGGTTTACTCGAAATCCGAATCTTTTTCCAAATAGCTTTTTGGCACCCACATGCCATTGACGTGCCGGTAGAAAATCGAATGCCGGTGTGCACACTTTCCGAGTGAATTCAGCTGGTCAGTGACGTGCACGTAACTTTTTATGCTGTGCATCGACTCTTTTATATGGAACAGCCGGAGGAGACCTCGAAATTGGGAAATATAAAACGATCCAGCAGCTTTAAGAAGCTACTGAAGTTGCCGAATTGGGCTTCCACGTCAGGTATGGCCGCATTATGTTTTCGGCGCCCTTTCCATTAAGAGACTGACTGATTATGCCGTTCAATTTCAGGCAATTAAGTAATTAAATTTCTCGATTACTTACTTCATGGAAGGGCGACTTAATTAATTAAGTTCCGTGCAAATTAGCGTCAAATTATTTTGTAAAGTTGCCAATTTATGCGGACTAAAATAACGAGGAATGCTTTCGGTGTTTTGTCTGCTTAAAACAAATACTGTATTCATTAAAAAAACGGGGCCACTGGATCAAAGTTAGACAAGACAAAGAACTACAGGCCGATTTTCTAAAATTGTGCAAAAAATCCTCGTGCTTTGTTTCAAGTGTATTTTACAAAATCCTTTTTTTAAGGCGATAAATAGTGATTTGTTTTCCGACTTTGAAGAGTTTCACATTCGTAGGGCCTAAGGGCGATTTTTGCCAACTTTGCGAGGTTGTAATGCGGCCAATAATCCTGCCGCTCATAATTCAAAGCCACTGTCCAAACGAAGGCGAGTTTCCACTCGAGTCTCTTTTATGACCGCAAAGGATGCTTTTTGCTTAAGGGCGAGTTTGGTCAATTTATGAAAGTCGACGCTTTTACATGTCACAGCAAGATCCAGCACTTTCCAAATGAGGACAAATACTGACTAGCGGTTTTTCTATGGCGCTACAGGATGATTTGCTTCTGGCTTCCTGCGACTTTCGTGTTCTTACGGCCAAAGGCAGATTTTTAGCAAATTTTCACGCTTTCATGCGGAGCACAATTCTGTCGCACATGTTTCAAAGTTGCGTACTGCACAAACGAGTGCAAGTGGGGACTTGAAATTTTTAATCACCGTAAAAGATGCTTTGTTTTTGAATCTCTGGGGTGTAATGTTCGTAAGACTTAGGGGCGATTTTTGGTAATTTTTCAAAGGCAAAGCTCCAAAGCTGTAAAGAACATTGTGGCTCATGTTACTGTCCAAACTAACGTAAAACTTCTGAGTTTGGAAAAGTTGTCTCTGGAAAGTCCGCAAATTAAAGTTGAAATTACGTCAAAAGTCGACTCTTGAAAAATACAGTTTCACTGCTTTTTATAAAGAAAACGAACTTATTTTCTACTGGAAGCTTGCCGGTTGTTCGGTCTTGTTTGGCCGGTTTGGCTGGCGCCACTTGGAAAATCCGAATTCTACTTGACTGGATATTTATTGGTTCAATTCGGCCAGAACCACAAGGCCCACTAAAAAAATCAAGCCAAAAGTTTAGGGCATAATTCATTTCGGCTAAATATAGGATCCATTACGGATCGCGGAACATTTAATCTGCCAGCCAGTGAAATGCCAACTAAAATAGCACGTTAAATTGGGCCAACAACACAATACCCCAAGCGCCCCTTTTTGTTTTTTTGCGTTACATAATTGGGGGAGTTTTGGGAAGGATTTGCTGCAAAATTTACCTTGAGATACTAAAGATACTTGTTTTTTAAGTAGTTTTTAAATTAATTTTCTTTTTTTTTCAGGTAAGTTTTCCCAAAGTATTTACTCGCTAGGACGAGCAGGTAAGTATTACAAAACTTTGTTGTTGCACCACCCGTTACTTTGAATAGTTAGTATCCCTTTTGTACTGTTTTTATCTATTAATTTTTTTATTGATATTGAACCACGCCCATTGTTTTTTATCGACATTCAGTGTCGCTTTCGCTTTCATACCTAGCAGGAAATTCGGTAATCGTGGCGTTGCCCAGCCATCTCTAACCGCAGTGGAATGTCTGCTTGACGTTAGTGAAACATTGATGAAAACGCCCTGTTTGTGTTTATTCTGTTGTATTTTTCGATATTTCGTTGTTGTTTCCTGTTTTTAGTGCACGTGATTGTGATAATAAATGAGCGGTTGAAGCTGGGTAAGCAATTGCGTGGGAACTGCGCTCACTTAACGTGTCACTAGACTTCTAATGTTTAGATCGAGTCAAAGTAGGGTTATGTTTACCTTTGCCCAATGGTCATTCGGGCTGTTTGTGTGTTTTTTTATTACCCCATAGGCTCTAATGCGATTAAACCCATGGCAAGCATGGAACGCCGATTGGGCAATCGACGCAACATGGGCGAAATCTCACCTAATGTAATCCTGTTATGCAGAGTTCATTGCAATAACAGTTGGCCTTGGTGTTGTTACAGCTTTATTACACCTTAGTATGTTGGTTTTATGGGTTTTAAGTCTAGTGCTTTGAACAATTGTGAGCACGGGCTATCTGTGCTGGTTTGCGAATAAACTAGGCGATAATTTTTATTATAAACGTTGGCAGGATTTTAATTAACTATAATACAGTTAATTGTTTTACACTGTTTTGGCAACACGGGTCCGTTTGTCGGTACCTGTGCTTTGTTTATCCCGCTGTAATAAGTGGTTTCCACCGTTCATAGTACCTTAACAAAAGCGGCCGCATAATGGGCCCGAAACCAGGTGTTTAACAATGGCCCCCTTTGCCAGCCACCTGCCATTTCACTTGCACCCTTAAAACAGATGGTGGGTTCAAATGGACCATCAGTACTAAATGGATTTCGTGCCATGTTGGTGCGATTCGCTCTTTAAGTAAATAGTGTCAACATAAATTCTTCGCGGTCAAGATAATGGTTGTTCCAATTACATGGCCATTATCCAACCTTGCACGTTGATGTAACTGGCTATTTTTAATGATCTAAGCCAGCCAGTGTGTTAAGCGGGGGCTTTTCGGTTTCTCTTTATTATAAAAAGGGTCCTTTCCACACGGAGAAAGTTTCATTCAGCCGGTAACAAACCATGTTATCATCTTTGTTTTGTCAAGATAACGGCCGAGAGAATTCGATTGTCTTGCTGATCTAATGGGATCATTATCATATTTTTACCAACTGTGTTGATTAATATTGCATGCGCATCTCAAGTACCGCACCGTTTGAATTTCAATTATTCTGATGACAATTGAAACTGAGCGCTGGATGGATGAGTGAATTCCGTTGCCAATGGGTTTAATCGTGGGGTGTTGGAAAAATACGCACACGCCTGCCATGAGCGAGTATTCATTGAATCAATTCATTAATAGTGATGTGAGTGAGAAAAAGCGCAATGTGGTCTAAGCAAGCGGACACACGAAACAAAAGCGGCAGCAACATGACCTCGTTCAAGAACAAGATAACCAATAGGAAGTCGAAAAATGCTGGCGATAAAGCTGCAGTCGAGCCTTCGACAGAGGCTGCGAACGAGCAGGACAAGAAAAAACAGCAACCCACCAAATCTCCGAATCCAAAGCCTGGACGAAACAGGGCCCGGAATAAGAATAAAAAGGAAACGGCCAAGAATCCGGATAAAGTGAATGAGACGGTCATTGTTCCAGCAGACAATAATACAAAGGTATGTAGCGCAAAAAAAACTGTTCGCCTAAAGTATCACATGTCGCATGCAACCGAGTGGGCAGTGGGTATCTAGGCCATGTTGAATCAGCAAATTTCGTTCATCTATTGCGAATTAAACTTTCCATTTGTTCCATAATGTCATCTGTTTTGTCATTTGATTGCAACCAAGTTAAAAACAACAAAAACACCTTCAATTAAATGCTGGCAACGTTTTCATTGCGCCTGGTAGGTCAAGTGATGCATACACAAGGGAGCGCGATATAGCGGTTTCTATGGATACCACTACGTCCTTATCACACTTGCCCTATATACGAGGGTGTTTTGCAAAGAGAATTGAAAAATCGCCTCAATAAAACTGGATTTTTCCAATGATTGTCCTCTTTTAGCCTAAAAGTATTAGCAAGGAGACTGAATTAATCGACAATAACACAGACGAATGTGACGGTGTTGTTTTACGTAACCCGAACTCAGCTCGCACTAGTAACACTTCGGTGAAGCGTTACAGCGACAGTTTTGTCATCGAAAATCAAATTGGAAGCGCTGAAGAAATTGCCGAAGAAGAGAAAATCACGGTTCCGACTCCGCTGACTAGGGCATTAAGCGGTTTTTTTGTTACCGATCAGAGCAAGAAGCAAAATCGCAGATTCAGTGACCTGTTCAGGTAGATTTTTGGGTACAATGCGAGTGTGGATATTATGGACTTGTTGTGGTTTGCAGGCCGGCCAGCAGCAAACTCTCGGGCAGCACCGAGAGCTTGAAAATGCCGATAAAGCTGGAGAAAAATGCGCCGGAGAAAAGCTCAAAAGTCGCTGTGAAAGAGGCGAAAGAAAAAAGCAAATCGAGCAAAAAGACGGATAGTAACAAGAAAAGTTCCCAGGTGCCTATTGATTTAATCCAATTTGTCCAATTTTGCGTATGTGTGGTTTTAGACGAAGTCGGCAGATTTTGTTAAGCCCGCTACGACGGAAACATCAAATTCCTACTTAAAAAGGGTGAAATCGCGGATTTACAAAAGCAAAAGCGACGATTGCGCCAAAATCGATCTGGACAACAAATATAAAAAGTTAATACCCAAGAAGTCCTTGGACCTAAACGGCAGAATACCCGAAGAAGACGTGGCATCTCCCACTGGTTAGGAACTGTTTTTTTTGTGTTTCAAAGCCTGGGAGTAACGTCTAATTGATTTCAGGAGTAATTCAGAAATCATTGGGCCACTTTCACTTTGGCAGATTAACCAGACAAACCACAAATTTGGAACGGATCAGGTAGGTCTTCAGGCAGTAATCAGGCCGTTAAAGTTACCAACAATTGCTTTTCAGTCGGCCATTCGGCTCGCAAAAGTCGGTAGAGAACGCCCAATCCAACGGATTAGAGCGGCCCGCTTTGGCCAAGTCAAAGTCCAGCAGTGCGATTAACTTGAGCTTGTTGAGGGCACGAAGAGCCAAAGTGATGGATAATGGTTCGGCTGCTCTGTGCAAAGACGAATTTGACTTTATACCGTTTTGCGAATCGCGCCTAACCGGCTCTAGTACTAGCTTGCATAAGTTCCCTAGTTGGTTACATATTAATAAAGGTAACCCTTTGGAAGTGGTTTAATGTAGTTGAGTGGTGCAACAACAATGGGTGGATTTAATCAGTTAGTTTTGTGGCTTTTTTGGACAGTTTTCAAAGGTTTTTCGTTTAGGTGAATCGAAAGTGTCGCAGCCTGTATCGAGGACTGGATCGGATCGGCGGCCGGACGCCGTTCGTGAAGAAGGTGCCCGGCCTGCCGAAGACTCAAACAGCCATCAGCAAGCCGATGGATCTCTAAACCACACGGAAACCAGTGTGGAGAAAAAGGAGTCGATGTCGCAAGACAAGTAAGAAACAATTTTGTCTATTTTAGAACTATTCATCCTTGTCCAGTTGGCACGTTTTAATTTATTATCTTCACTTGTTACTACTACTGGTAGACTCGCATTAGCATTATCGCTCATTATGTCACGATGATTTCAAGTAGTAATAGACGTGACGCATTTATTTATCGCCAAACCTCACCGACGCTTTTGGCGATGTGATCGTTTCACTACTGAAAACATATCGCTCCAGTATCCACCCTATAAAGGCATAAAGCTTCATTTGCTTATCGGGGAGATTAGATTAGCGGTCGAAATTGCAGCTATTTTCGAGGCGCTGCCGTTCTAGCAACGTCCGCCTGGTTGCTTTTTTCAGTGGTTTTTTTGCGTTTTTTGCGTGCTGAGAATGTCCGAGAGGCGATCGCTTGCAGACTTTTTCAGCAAGACGACCGTCACTAGGAAGGTTAGGTGTGTGTGTGCAGCGAAACGGTGCTGTAGCCGAGTGTAGTTTGTTTTGTTCACGGAAATTGTTTCTGTTTTCTTGCAGTTCTGCCAGCTCACAGGCGGGCGCCAAGCGGCGGGCTGGGGGCCACATTAACCGATCTGAGAGCGTGAAGGAGCAGTCTGAAAAGGTACCCGATTTTCTGTTTGTTTCTTTTGAATATACTCAACGCGCTTTAAAACTGCAGATCAGAAAGCAGCAGCGCAGGAACATCAGCGATCCCTCCCATTCAACAAACACCAGGTAAGGGCTGGTAATTTTTTATTTAATCCTTGCTCATATTCGCGCGCCTTTTAGCAGCTACGATGTGGAAAACGAGAGGCAGGCCGATTTATCCAAAAACACCGACTCTGGCAGTTCGTCCAACTCCAGTATATCGGCCGTCAAGTAAGTGGCAGCAAATATCAAAGATTGCTTTTGCTAATCAATGGATTGATTTTTTCAGTGGCAGGCTGTCGGAAAGTCCGTCCAATAGCATGGACGTGCACCAGGCCACGGTGCGCACTCAGTCTGACTCTGACTCCGATATGGATGGGGAGGCTGATCCTCTGAACTGGCAGGAATTGGTGACTGACGAAGAACTAAAGAAACTAAACACGAGCGAAAAGAAGCGGCAGGAAGTAATCAACGGTAATTATCAAAGATTAAACCGTTTATTTGTGAACGCCTGATAATATTCGGCCCGCCTCGATTCTACTCTCACCTTTGTGGGTGTTGGGAGGAAAAATGGGGCATGTTGGGTGCTGGTGCCCAAAGACTATTAGAAGCGGCACAGTACCCGATCGGCTAACCGATTTATCTCGAAATCTGCTAGTCTCAGGCACCCCCACATATTATATCAGCTGGACTTACCCTATCTGCGAGAGTGCATAGATTGACACAAGTAAAGCGACACTTGTTACGCCACTCAACAGAGTGCACTTTCCTCTATTAGTGCGGGAATTTCCGGAACAGGATATAATTATAAGGTCACTTACGTCAACTATTCTTTTAAAATGAGACGTAGTTTCGTTTCTGCTAGGATCAGCATACGTTAACTATAAAAGAAGCCACAAGAAAAGCGAGCATTCAGTCATAGTTTCACATTCACTCTATAAGTTCGACATCTAGATTGTAAAGAGTTTGGTTCTAAAAATATTGTTTTAAACAGGCTTTTCCAATTAATCAATAAAATTATAGCAAACTTGTTTGCATCGGAACCTTTTGATTGATGTATTGCCAGTGATAACACCGAAAGTTTCGTTGTTGTTCAATACTAACTTTAATTATTGACAAAAAAACAAGAAACGACTTGGCATTATCGCAATTTGCTTTGTAGATGTTGGCGGAATTTCACATGTAAGCAGTTACCGCTCTGATAATCACCAGCCAGCAGTTTATCTATTGAAACTTTAAACGCGGAAATAATTTGCAGAAATCTTCCTGACGGAGGCCTCCCATGTGCGAATGCTGAAAGTCCTGTACAAGCTGTTTTACAAAAAGCTGGTCTCCAGCCAGATACTGAAGCCCGATGAGATCAATCTAATATTTCCGAATATCAAAGAGCTGCTCGACGTCCACACGGAGATCAACAAGGAGTTGCGTCGCAAGCGCAAAGAGGATCCACTAGTCAGGCAAATCGGCGACACGCTGCTGGCCACTTTCACCGGTAGGCTCGTAAAACTTGTCCGAATCCCGTTTGGGGGTAATTAATTGTGTGTGTGTTTGATTAATCAGGACCGCAGGGTGAGCAGCTTCAAAAGGCGGCAGCTTCTTTCTGTGAGCGTCAACAACTGGCCCTTGAATTAATCAAGAAGCGGCGGGAGCGAGACAATAAGTTTGACTCGTTGCTGTGCGAGTGCGAGAAGAAACGCCAGTGTCGTCGTCTAGAGTTGCAAAGTAACTACAAGCGAAAAATTAGTGAATCGCATTCAAACTGGTGCTTGATTTGTTGCAGGTATTGTGCCATATGAAATGCAGAGAATCACCAGATACCCTCTTCTGCTGGAGCGATTGGTGGAGAGTGTCGAAGCAGCAGAGAAGACGTGTAGTGAATACAAAGACGAATTAGTTAAGCTGAGGTATGTGACTTTTGATTCGTCCACTAGCAGATTGAACAGGTTGTTATTGTCGATTGAAGGGAAGCGCACCTTCACTCCAAGGCAATCTTGGGGTTCGTGGATGAGGCGGCCAAACTAGCCCACAACCGGCATCGGCTCGAGGAAATTCAACGACATTTGGATGTTTCTAATTTCAAGAATAGCGATCATCCTATTGTGAACGATTTTAGGAATATCGATCTAACTAGGTATGTAATTAGTGCAGCCAAATAACGGCTCTAGAGTACTGAGGGGTTGTTTCGCAGGTATAAGCTGATACTAGAGGGTGGCCTTCAACTTAGACGGCCTAATAAAGCGAACGTGCACGTGCACGTTCTCCTGATGGAGGAAATGGTGGTGATATTTCAAAAGGAAAGCGAAAAATTCATTTTGAAATTCTTCCAGTCGGGCTCGTCCACCCCAATGGCTCCATTGAGCCCCATCATCAAAATGAACACACTTTTAGCCCGTGAAAATGCTGTCTGTAAGTGCAACCACCGCAACCTTTCCAGATGTGTACCACATTGAGTTTTTTTGCGTAGGTAAAAATGCCCTTTTCCTCGTAAATACCTCAACCACCAGCAGTCAGATGTACGATCTTCAAGCGGAAGACGAATCGAAGCGGGAAACGTAAGCGAGTTTTCCATTGAATCTAATGGTTTTTAAGAAAATGGTTTGGTGCTAGATGGCTGAAGCACTTTACGGATGCAGCAGCAGCATACAACCGACGAGAGGATAAAATCACCAGAACAACGGGCAGCATTAGCATTACACAGCCCGTAACCGATTCTGATTCGGAATCGATTCTTCGGGAGGCATCCAGGGAACCGGAACCCGTTGTTGAATCCGCAGACCGACTTTCGTCCTCTTTCACAACTGCGGAGAAAGAGGACGCAAACCAACCTGCAGAAACTGCCGCAGGAGAGGATGATGCTGTGAGTGTTGAGGATCCTCAAGCAGGCGGCGATCACACTCCAGGTATTAAAGAGTCGGGTAATGAAGTTGCACCAGCAAAACAAACTAACCACTAACTGGTACCGAGTGCAATCGGAAATTAAACCTTTCTTTTATACGAAAAGTCGATTTAAATGGGCATGGAGAACTAACATGAGGTGTCCTGGTATTATTCTAGATGTGACGAGTGGTGGTGGTGGTATTCACGTAACGACGAAAGTGAGCGCTGAAGAATGGCCTTTGATCCAACCTTCGCAAGTTAGCGTAGCGGTACCACCAGTGCATACGGCAGAATCGAAGCTTACACCCCTAGGTAGGGCTTTGGAACCTTCTAATACGCTTCTTTAATTGCACCAGCCGTTGATATTCCGCTGTGTTTGAATCGGTGCGGAATAAGGATTCGATGTGTTTTTTTCTCAATTTAGAGCAAATCCGACGAAAAGATGCACTAGTGAAACAAACGTTAGCCGAAAAGGACGATCTGGTGGCTGATTTACTTGCCATTCCGCGGGAGGACTTTCAGCACATCGCCGACATGGCTTCGACTGCTTCAAGCAATGCGGACAGCCACTCTTTGGATATAACCGATCGGCTGCTGGCCACTGTCTTCCAGGTAAGGCAAAAAACCAAAAATTACTCCCAATCGCATTCAATTACCGTTTGCTGTTTTCTGTTGCGTGCCTATTTTGGAATTATCTTCCTTTCAGAATGTAAGTAACTACAATGTTTATTTAGTCTTACAAACATTATGCAATAAGTAATGTCAAGGGGTTGTATACAGGGTGTCCCACCGGGTGATCGATATCTGGCAAACTATAATTGGGCCAAAATTGAAAATTGCACGGTATACCGAAGTCATTTGGGGGCAAGCGATCTAAAATATTTACGAACCCAAGTACCCGCAAAACCTAACTGTTCATGACGCATTAGATGATTGTTGTTTGGACTTAGGTTGATATTCTTCAACGAGCAGTAAACGACGCCCTCAACATAACGGAAGGTGATGTGATCGCTGCTAGGGGTGGCAAAGTGCCCATTTGCGCCAGCCAAGAGGGCGCAACCGAAACCAGATCTGTGATTCCCAGTGTGCCTGCTGGATTAGTTGGAGAAATTGCCGCTTCTCTAAGCTCTCAGCTTACCACTCTATTGGTCAGTAAACCGGTAAATCGCTTGAAATGTTTGGCACGTGTATTTCTGTTGTGTTTAGAGTGAAATCAAGCATGTAGAAGAGGACCGTGATCGGCTGCGCAAAGAACTGCATAAAATCAGGGAGCAGCTGCACGAAGAGCATCATCTACATAGTCCTGTGCCATTTGAAGATGCATTAGACCCTGATGAAAGTGCCCAGGTGCGTGCTCACTTTACCTTCACATGACACAACTGTACTAATATAGCATTTCTGTTCTAGGAGATATTTTGCGAAGCAATAAGTGACGATCCAAACTAAACGGTAAATGCTTACCAAACAGGGCGAAGTCAAAACTGTAGGGTACCCAAATGTATATTTTAATCGGGCCTATTATTATAGACGCTATTTATATATGATACATTGATAATAGTGACTGTTGTGGAAGGAAAACTACGAGTTTTGCTGCAATTTGTGCAATATTATTTGTACGGCAACCATTCATTGTTGAGTGGCGCCCATCGATGCCGAACTCTCGTTCGAAAATTTATTGTTGCACTCTGTACAACATCTGATTGTATGTATTGGAAGAAAAAAAGACAAAAAGTGGCTCGATGGGACCGAACATGAGCGATAAGTATGATTTACAATAGTTTTACTTTAGGTGTCGCATTTATAACAAGGAGAAAAATCAATTAAAAAGACCTGTTGCGGTTAGAGCTTAACTAATTTCGTACTTACTTACTCATCAATGCTTTATACACGTTTCGATCAGGATCGAAAATAATTTGTTTGCTCTTATTTTCGGAAAGTTCATTAGGTTTTTAATATTATTTAGTCAAAAGTAACATTGAATTTAACTCTATTTGTGCGGGGTATTTGCCAAAAAATCCACTGGCGACAATATGAAATTTACGAAAAGCACTTTCAGCTGTTTAATAGAGGGAAAACTCCATTTTAGTCGGTGGATTGAAGTTGGAAACACCCGGTACATGATTGGTTATTAGTTTGCCATAAAATAGAGCGTGTTTTCATGTTGAAATTCCGAGTGTTACTGATGAAAGCAAACCGAATACGTTTGAGATTGAACTCTTTTGATCATTCTTAGTTCGAGACAGTTTTGGTATTGGATTCTGTTATTTTCATTAATTTAATGCTAGTTCGACTACTTAAAATCGCTGTTATTCGGCGACTTTTTTCTTACTTATGTGGAAGTGCTTTTAATAGGCACTAAAGATCCTAATAGAATCAAATGCCAGGGTGTTCAAGTAATTATTACAAAAGCGTAGGTCCTTTTCTTCATTAGTAACCAACCTGTCTTGTACATGTGAATGTAAATAACCTTCAGTCGATTAAGTTTGAAAATCTGCATTGGATAGACGAAAAAAGTGCAATATTTACAATAAAATTAATTCATTATGGAGGTTTCCACTCTAGAGACGATTGATTGTTTCAAGGTGTTTTGCAATTTTTTTAACTGTCCAATGTGTTTTTATCGCGATCTACCTGAACATAGTATTGTATTTATTGTTATAGTGTAGCTTTTTAATTTAGATGTATTTTTATCGGTAAATGAAGAAAATGAGGAGAATGGGTGCTACACAACCACTGACAAAGCCAGTGTACATTTAGAGAAAAGTGCCTTTTTAACGAAGCATCCATTTGCTTTTACGTAATAGCTTTATCAAATTATGTGTATTTTTTTAACCAAGGAAAGATGCGGCATTTATGTAGATTTTTATTATGTTATTAATTTTGTATTTTTTTTATTAGCCACATCCAGCAAGCTAATAATTAGAACAATTATTGTTATGTATTTATATAAAAAGGTAACAGTCCTCTTATTACGTAATAAACCCTTTTAAACTAGCCATTTGGGTACAATCAGTATTAAAAGTGCAATTCTTACCTTGTTCATCCAGTCCTTGTGTGCTTGTTTAGTTAGTGAACAACGGTTATTCTCAATGAATATCTACAAATAAAACAAAATGCTTGATAAATGAAATTTATTAATACAGCTGACGTGCCAAATTTAAAATACACAGTTGGAGTGTCGTCGTAGAATGAAAATTATACACTGTTAACATGAAATTGATGAGCAATCGGGGGTATTAACAAATATCCAATAAATCGCGCCTATTATGCGGTTGGACTAGAGTTTTTTTTCAATTCGTTAATCGATATCAAGAAAGAAACGTATAATTATGAAACACCTTTCGATACATAACACCTCATTCAGAAACTGCCAAGGGTATAAAACGCGTTAGAAAGCTTAACATTTAAACCATCTTCCTAATTAAATTGTGTTTCTTCTTAACTCTTATTATTACTACTATTGCTAGAATTAATTAACTCTAATTATTGGGCAGATTGTGTAATAATGAATTCATCATTTCCGAAAGGTTCTTTACGAAATAAGGGGAATTTAATGTAAGTAAGTATAGATCTCGAAATGTGTTAATCCCGCAGACACACTTTCAGGCCCAGTTTCGAGCCTGCATTTCCCAACACTCCCTAAATTTGCGCCGTTTATTTCGGACGAAAGAAAGTACTGGTTTCGCGAGTGTTATTTTCAAGCTAAACCCAGCTAATTGGTTCGAAAACGGTCGTGGCAGCCTGGATGTGGGATTGGCACATCTCGAGATTATACCTGTTTCAATCCGACGCCTTGACGACTCAAAAGATTCATGATTTGGTGATCCATAATGTACATTAGCATGCGTATCGCGGCCTTAAGAATCCTGCCCTGGCCGGGTTCAAAATAGAGCCAAAATTTAGAAAAACCGTATAGTGCCTCTCGACTATGTACATGACATAATAAAGCAATAGTACCAAAGCGCATGTTTTGGTCATTTCGTAATCTTTTATGCTGTTTGGTCTATTCTAGAAAAATATATTCCGCTTATAGAGATAGATATGTATTAAGGTTGTTTTCTAAAGACAATAATTGGACCACGATACAGTCTTAAAACTAGGACCTAAATCGGGCCGTGCGAGCCCCGAAAGCTGACTGAAGCTGAAAGGGCTTCGAATGCCGCTGTCGGTTGCCTGCCGGCACTCCTTCAAGGGTTTGAAAAATCAACTAGTTTCTAGATCTAGACCTTGCGCTTGCGGGTATTGGCTCTATATTTACAAAGTAGAAGAACTTCCTACAGGACGACACTAATTTGCAACTTGCATGTTCTCCGAAGATTTAATAAGTTGAAAAGTTACAAAGTAGTTTGTCACAGACAGTTCCAAGTGTGGACGGTTCGCTAATCTATCAAAACTAGATAAACAAGCCTACCTGCTTTATAGATCTAATAGGCTAATAGAACAAGTTCAGTCTATATTTAATTAAATTATTCAAAGTCAACACTCTCCGAGAGTTTGGAAATAAATTTATCGTGCAGTGTTTATAGTATAGAACTTAAAAAAAATCTTACGGTTGTTCTTACTAGAGAGGTGCTGATTCGTTTTTAATGCTGCCAACATCAAAGTAAAGTTGCAAGTGAAAATATCGCCGTAAGAACTTTACAAGTTTCAAAGTGATCCTCAGCAGAAGTGCGGTAATGAGTAAGCCTTAATCGAGTAAACAATTTCTATTATTTACATGTTTCTACCAACGTTGACTAGAAGGCCTCTATTAATAATAAACCCTACATATGATCCCTCAAAAACAAGTTTAGTTGCACTTTCTTGGTCAATTTTCACATTTATACAGAACGGCCGGAAATTGGTGGGCAATTTTCTAGTCAAAGTGAACCTTTTCTTTTGCGGGTGCTCGGTTTTCGTATAGAAAATGTTGAAGCATTTTGGCAATGAGCTACTTACCGGTTTGCACGGTGAATTCACAGCACTTCGATAGCGATAAATTGAGAAGTTCAGTGCGTATAAACTAGAAACTGCTAAACTGATGTTTTATATAAAAATGTGCACACTTCAATTCTCTATCCCGCAATGTCAACTAGAGCTTTGCAGCTCAACCGGTTCTCTAAATATGAGCCGAAAGACAAAAGACCGACGACCTATTTCCCCGTAACAAACTGAAAATTTAATCGGCATTTTGACACAATATTGAGGTTTTTATCACATCCCGAACGCACCGAGCTACAGAACTTACAGTATGATATAATCGTTTGCTCGATAGCCCTTTGGATGAATCATCCTTTGCAGTTCGATTTGAGTGTGTTTATTGTTGACATTTTTATTCAAAGTGCATGTTCGCACGGCAATATTTTGAAAATAAGTGTTTGGATAATTTCCGTTAACAGTTTTCTCAGCCAGAGATGAAACTCGATAGACTTTTTTATGCTAAATTAAATGCTTGTCCTTGGATGAGTCTTTTGCTCTGAAGATATCTAAGCTGTGCGAATACTAAGAGCGGTTTGCAAGCTAAACACTAAACGTCTAAAATAATTTTGGTATAAAAAAATGCGTCTTTTAAGTCTATCCGGTTAAGCAACTAGAGCTTTGCAGCTCAACCAGTTCTTTAATTATTAACCAAATACTAAGCTATTTTCAAAACCCGCATTATTTTCATAACCATTCGACGTTCGCGATTCGCACTGATCTCCATACCGATGCTTGCTTGCATAAGAAAAGGCCCTACTTTTGCCCACAGAACCGGCAGCTAAAATTGCACACATTTCCGGCCACAGCTATTCAAGTGCCTAACAAGCACACGCTCCAATTTCAAACAATCCTACGAAAGAACAGTTCGATGTGTTTAAACCAAAGGCGCAAAAATTCGCCACATTCTCATTGAAGAACAAGTGCCTACTTTCCCTCCACCATCTCCTCCTCCTCATCCTCGCAACACTTGTCATCGCTTATATAAAATGCATTCACTTACTTACGGTGAGTGGAGGCGTTAAGACTACAACCACTTCTTCCTCAGGCTGTTTCCTCGTCTCCCCCACATCAGGTTATATCATACGATGGTCCCCTGCAGCTGCTGAGGATCCCCCGAACTGGTTGGAAGGGCTGCTTGAGACGATGACGACGTCATTGGCTCCGCATATGAGGGGGAAGAGATGCCTATAAACATTCACATACGCTCGCTTTATTCACTGTTCAAGTTGGGAGGACGGAAAAGA